TTTCTTTCTTTCTTTCTTTCTTTCTTTCTTTCTTTCTTTCTTTCTTTCTTTTTCTTCTTTTCGTCAGAAATGAGACCTTTCTTTCTTTCTTTCTTTCTTTCTTTCTTTCTTTCTCTCTCTCTCTTTCTTTCTTTCTTTTTCTTCTTTTCGTCAGAAATGAGACATTGTTCATCTTTAACTAGGCCACATAGAAATTATGATTCAACAGCAGTGTATATTTAATTAGAGTAATCTCACTTGAATTTAATTACCTAATGAATTATTTGTTTAAAAGGTAGAATGTCTTGTTTGCCAAGTATGGTGCAGACCTCTGATAAGAACTTCTGTTATGAGGACATTACAATTTAAAACCAGGCATGTTTAAGGTTTTACATTTTAACTCTTTGAGCGTATAACTGTTATTGTACTACTCAAATGAAAACTGAGATGATCCAGAAAGATATGGGTGGGGGGTCATTGGGAAAGGCGAACACCATTCTGGCCACCCAGAGGTTCTCTTCTGTTATGCACAGGTGTGCTGACCTGTCCTTTTGCAAATAAATATTCTCTGACCTTTTGTCAAATATGCCTAGTTTATTTTTAAACTTATTTCATGTTGCTTTCTGTGGCATTTTCCCCCCTCCTGATACAGGAGAGGACAGTTGTCTATTAGAGGATTCGTTTTATAACCAGCATGATAATGAATTGGTGCATCCTTCAGGAAAATGCTAGCTAAGCCACTGGGTCCCATGCCCTTCCTGGGTCTCTCCCAGCCTGGCTCCTGGGGTCCCTGAGGCATCCACACTAGCAGCGGGAATTCTTTCTGAAGATTATCAGATTTATGGGACTGGAAGCTAACACAGCCCAGACTTTGACCTTAAACCTTAGTTTCTAAATTATGGACTTCATTTCTTCTTGTTTTCCAAAAGCAACAGTAAATAGTTCCAAGCCATGCCATCCTTTATGAGAGCATGTGAAGATAACTTGTCTCTAGATAATGCCAACAGTTGGTGCCTCTAATGCTAAGTGCCCAACTGGTCATTACGGGAAGAGAAAGCCTTGCTGGAAGTCTAACACTGTTTCTATATTTTCTATGGTCAAGTTGCTGCAGAAGCAGACTGTTTCAATTCCTTCTCTGTTGCTGTGGGATCCAGAGAGTATTCCACTCCTGTGTGATGGAATTTCAGCAGGGAAATGCATGTATGATCTAGGGAGAAGCAGAGAGCATTTCACCCTGTCACTGAAGAAAAAAAGAAACAAAACAAAACAAAACAGGAAATAAAAATACCGCAAATCAACTTGGTTGAATTTCACTGTCACTTTCATTAATATTTCATTAATCAAATAATTTACTTTAATTGCAGGCTTGGATGCTATTGTCACATAAATTTTAAAAATTATTAATAAAGTGTTCAACCAAGTAGGAATGGGCTTATAAGAAAAATGCAATGCTTTGATAAGGATTATTAATTTTTTGTTTCTTTTCAGAATCTCTGATTGTTATCACAGCTGTGCATTTTGAAACTGATGCTTTAACAACCAATAGTGGTTAAATTATAATATAAAATGAATCACATTCAATCATTGTTGCAGTAGCATCTTTCTTCCAAACAACCAGATCTACATGTTTAAGCTTATTTATGAATTTACTTCACATATTCTTCCAAATAACAACTGACAGTAACAACCAGAGAGGAGGTGAGATAATAGCTTGGGAATGATAATACATTTCTCAGATCTGAGCAAATCCAGAGATGATTTCCTAGAAAAACCCTCAAAGGAAACGATATGTGTGGAATGGAAGAAGGGAAAATACTAAATGCCATGTTTGTGTTTGACTCTTCCAAAAGTGTTTGAAATTGAGACCAGTGTTCTATCCCCCATGACTTTATATCAGCCCTCAATCATTTGTATTATTAAAGATAAAAACCTACCTACTAGAAATCCCTTTAAAAAAATATACACACACACACACACACACACACACACACACACACACACACACACACACGGAACACATCCTCATTAGACAGTTTAATGTATTCCAGGCTCCTGATGGACACATGCACTAGACATCATGGGTCTGCAGGTTAAAATCCTATTGCCTGACTTTAAGGACATCAGCTCAACACAAAGATGTCCAACAGAGTAAAGTCTCAAAGGTTAGCAGACATTTTGAAAGTTCAGGGGAAAGTTTCTGGGAAGTTCTGAAGACATATAAGGTCTACCAGCATTTTCCAAGACCATTCTTATAGAAAAATTTGGGGTATGAAATGGGTCTAAGGGGGGAAACTTAAAATATCCCTTGACCCAGGGGTTCTTAATCTGTTCTTGCCCTGATCTTGCTTGTCACTTAAGTGTTATTCAAGTTCATCTTCAGAGCTGCTCCAGAGTTTGGGGTTCTTAACTGGGGTCCCACCAGCTCCATCTTTCCTTTCTTAGTGCAAGAAGAAACACAAGCTTCCTGACCTTCCAGTCCTCTGCCAGCTTTGGTGGGGAGGTGGTGTGCATGCATGTGTGTGTGTGTGTGTGTGTGTGTGTGCAGGAGTGAAATGTGGAAAGAGTGTGGTGAGGGAAAGAGAAGAGGAAGGAAGGAATTTTTCTCCCAGACACTTTCAGAGGTTAAGTTGGCCCACAGAATGCGACACACCCATGACCAGAAAGAGGCCACTCTCGGCAGAATTCCCAGCTTGGAAAGCTCCCCTTCTGTGTCCTCTGTATTCTTCTGGGTGCCCTTCTTCTAGCACGGTCATGCTGATGGAAGGTGCCCAGATATATCTT